ATGTGTTTTATATATGTAGTGAAGTTTCATTTGGCCATAGAGAATGATATCTTATCATTTGCAGAAAAATGGATGGTAATTGAGATCATGAAATTAAGTAAAATAAACCAAATTCAGCTTTTCCAGGTTCTGCAGTCATCTGAACAAAAATGCTATTGATGTATAACATACTGCTATTATTGGTCTTTTTATATAAATATATATATATTTTTTTTAATAGAATTTTTTGGAAATTTTAACTGTATTGTCAACTTTGGAAAAAGTTATCCTAGTTTACTGTGTTAAATTGGCATTATACAGAAATTAACAGCCATATTGGTCTAGAAATGTTAGACTTAATTTTTCTTCCATCTGTACAGGGGTAATGCACTGTATTAAATATGTAAGGTCTTATCTATGTGGGTTTGATTACAGAAACTAGTATTCTCTAAATAAAATAAAATAATAATAATAATAATAATAATATTAAACCAAATTCAGAAAGACAAATGTCACATGTTTTCCTTAATATGTAGAATCTGAAAAAGAGAAAAAGAAAAATAACCAAAAAATAGAAGGGAAAGTATTATTAGATAAGAGTAAGGGAATAATGGAGAACAGGAAGGAGGTGTGAGGAAGGGTAATAGAAGGGATGGATATGACCAAATATGCCATATTCGTGTATGAAAATAAATGTGTAAAAATAAACAGAATCTTTTGCAAATGGAAAGGCGACCAAAAAATGGGAGAAAGGACAGGATGGAGAGGGGAGTGGGACATATGAACAATTCCCCATTCCACTACATTAATGACAACTTTAAATGTACAGTTCGATGGCACATTCATAAAACTATACAGCTATCACCACCATCCATCGTTAGAGCACTCTTATCTGTAGAACTGAATCTCTGCGATTCCTTTTTCCCTCTCCCACAGCCTGTAGCAACCATGACTGCTTTCTGTCTCTATGCATTCTTCTGCTTTACACACCTCAAATGAGACAGTAGTGGTCTTGCAAAGGCTGATTTATTTCATGTCAAACAATAGTATCCTCAAGGATCATACATGTTATAACATGTGTCAGCATTCTTTTTCTGTTTTAAGTCCGAATAACAGCCCATTGTGTGTACCAGCCACATTGCATTAATCAGCTCATCTGTTGGTGAGTAGTTGAAGTAGATCCCATGCTTTCTGCGCTCAGATGATAAGAAGCAGAGATGTAGAGTGAATACAGGAAAAGGCCTTGTGTCCGAGCCTGAAGAAACCAGGTGTGAGAGGCTGGGTAGAGAAGGGCAAATCTGTAAGGGAGCTGAGGATGTGGTTCTGGGGCTTGAAGGAAATCTAGGAGAACACGTAGCATGAAAACCAAAGAAGGATCATAGTTCACAGATGTTCACAGATGATAAATGCTGCTGAGAATGAAGCTGAAAAAGGCCATGATGTAGATAATTAGTGGTCATGGGTGACCTGTAGAAATTTGCTTTCTGTTTGATTATCACTTATAGCAGAATCCGTGGGAACAGGCCCTTCGAACAGAGCTCCCCATCCTCCTGGAGTGTTTGTGATTTTTAAAGTTTCCAATATGTGTTACACAGTAAACTCAGACGATATGCTTGATAGTGGTGTTCCAGGGCACTGTGACCACTAATCCCAGTGTGTCAACTGCACTAGATTCAGAAATGCCTCAAAGAAGACTGAAGCACACCCATGGGGCAGTTGTGACCTTGGTTTCCATATGCTGTCCCTCACCAGTTTTTCTCTGGTACTGTTTTCCCACTGTCCCCCACCCCTCCAGAAAATAAGCAGCGTTGTTTGTTCACACCCTTGTACCATGAGGTTTCTGCCTTGGGGCCAGGTGACCTTGGATTGACCTGAAACTATGAGCCAAATTAAATCTTTCCTCCTTTAAGTTGTGGGTGTCAGATATCATGTCCCAGTGACAGAGAAGCTAACTAATACAGATGTGATGCAACTGTTCAGTGTCCTGAGTGTAGTTTTGATCACACAAATCTGTGTATGTGTTAAAATTCACAGAGCTGTATACCTCACAATAATTTGTTTCACTGTATATTTATTTCATATTTTTAAAAAACAGCAATGGTAACATATTTTAATATGATTGTGCAGTCTTAAATGTTTGTTGTAAAATGATTCTTTAACTCTTGTTATCTCCCAAATAGTTCTTTGTACTTACAAGATTCTTTAAAAGGGGAATATTAAATAAAAAACAACTAAAGTTTTAAGTGAGGCATTTAGGAGAAATGCCAAAAAAAATTTTAATGTAAGGAAATACATGCATAATTTAGGTGAAAACTAAGAAAAATGAAAGAAGACAATAAAACTCCATTGTCTCATTATTTTTAAGACAGGAATGGGTCACATGAGTGTAGCAAGAGATGGACTTCGCCTGGAAGGGGAATCTGAATTTTTGTTCCCATTGTATGCCAAAGAAATACGCTCCAGAGTGGTAAGAAAGTGACTTAAGTTTTAAACAATTTGTGCTTCATGAACAATAATGGTTAAGCACAGAAATCCAATACTTTTGGAGGGGAATTTTAGGGAGCCTATATACCTACACACGGGTGGCATGCTTTGCATAAAAACTTAGCTATCATGTTGTGGAACTCATCTCCTATATTTTATTCTGCACAGACTTTATTTTCATGTATTTCAGATTTGAATTTGGTGCCCTCATATCACTGACCTTAATTAACTAAACATTTAAGAAATGAACATCTTTTCCCAAAAAACAAGTTAACCTTCCATTCATCAGTGCAAGTAGCTTAAATAGACTTATTTCAAGGCATTCAAAGTTATCTGAGAAGTTTTGGAGAAATTAGTTTCATAGTTGTGTGTTCTGTGTTAGTTATCACTTCTTGGCCTTTCTGCTAATATCAAGTGTATTCCGTATTAGTTATGCTAATTAGAAGTCTCCATAGTACATCCAAAATCCTCGTTAAATAATTGTAAGACTTTAAAAGTAAATTAACATTTTCTTCCTTTACCTCCATGGAATTTATAAAAAAGAATAGCCCAAGTAAAGTCAAACAATTTTTAATATGTTTTATTTTTCTACACAATGTTAAGAACATTGTTCTAGATTATTTATAAATGGCATTTCTCCTTCCCAGAAAGTTGAAACCTCATCCAATTAGAACCTACCAATCAAAGTATACTCTTCACTTTCCTTCTATATTTCAGAATGTGAATCCATACTTTAGTGTCTCCTGCCTGCAGATGCTATACAGCTACCATAGGAGAATTAGAAAAGAAAAAAAGACTTACTACTAAGAAATACCATTAAATAGCTGAAACACACTCCTAAACTAAACATTGGATCACCAAGTTCTGCAAAAGGATACGACATAAACTTTATATATAAAAAAATGACCACTGAGAAGGGATCCCAAAGAGTACAAAGCCTGTAGGTACTTTTATGCATGACTATATTATATTTCTTCTAGAATATCTTATTAGCCATAAAGCAGACCAATGACCTGTCATATCATAGGCTAATTCATGTGTAGGCTCAATTCTGTGAGCTGTTTCCAGTAATAGCCTTACATTAATCATGAAGACATTTTAGGGTGTTAAGTAGCCCTGTTGTACAGGTACATGGAAAATTAACACAAATTTTTGTAAACAGGGAAGTCAGATACAAATAAAGCATTAAAAATATTAGAATTTAGCTTTTTTCTACCAGATATCAGATGGCTGATCTCTCATATCATATTTTGAAAGAAATAAGAGTGGTAACCTGTCCTTAAGATTGAAATCAGGTGACTAGATCATAGCAAATATAATATTCTGGCATTAATAATAACTTTCAGTTCAATTTTATCAGACTCTTTCATCTCTGGTATTCTTTAAAAAGAAAACAAAGAGCAAAATTACAAAAATATTTCAGATAACCACATATTAAAGTCTCACAATGTGGTATTAGTGGGTATGTCAATCAAAATACTCAATGAAATTACAGAAATAATTTGAATATTATGTGATAATAGAGCTATACAAAATTGTGTGACTAATATAGCTTTTACAAAAATAGAAGTTACAGAACAAAACTATGCCTTGTTAACTTCTGTGTGCACAATAGATACATTAGTCCCAAGTTTTCTTTTCCAAGGCAAGTCTGGGAAGCAATTTTCCATAAAATTGTAGAAAATAAATTATCTTATAAATCTGAAAAATTTGCCACATTATTCACTAACCTATACTGCTAGGCTACCAGAATTTTGTAATTATAAATATATTTGAGGTTGGTGTTCTGATCTCTAAAGTCTGATTACTTAGTAACCCCCACACTTGAGCCCAGCTGCACATGTGGGGAAAGAGTCACCCAGATGCCAGACTGGGATCAGTACATCCCTGAGGACAGAAGCTTTAAAATAGAAATGATTATAAAGGCTTTAATGGGCTGATGAAAGCAGAACTACAAATACATTTACAACATATAAAAAAAAGTGAAGACTGAAATGTTAGATCACACAAGAAAAGCTTCATCCAAAAGAAATGCCCAGTTAACTTACAAAAAAGAGGACTAACATCCAACTAAATAAAAACAGCCCTCCATATCTGTGAACTCCAAATCCATTGATTCAATTAACTACAGATCAAAAATGTTTTTAAAAATGTGTACTGTGTATGTACAGACTTTTCTAGTCATTATTCCTAAACATACAGTACAACTATTTACATGGTAAATCCATTGTGTAGGAATTACAAGTAACGTAGTATGATTTAAAGTGTATAGGAGAGTGCACTTGGGTTCTATCCAAATACTACACTATTTTATGTAACATACTTGTGCATCCACAGATTGTGAAACCCTCAGGGTAGCCTGGAATCAATTCCCCTTCAGATACCAAGGAATGCCTGTGTATCACTTTATTGTTAATACAGGTGTGCAGCTGTCTTTGGATTCTTGTATCAGTGATGGGCGTTTGTATTGTAGACAACAGAATACCAAGCCAGCATCAGCATGAACTAACAGGAGTTTTAATTCTCACATAACAACTAGCTGGAGGGGGCAACTACAGCCTTGTTTCAGCCTTTGTCATCCTCCTACTTTCCACTCTAGCAGACTGCTAGACTATATCCAAGGCACACGGCCAGGAAATGTCAATGTTGGGGTGTGTATGTGTCAAGACACAGCCCCATCCCAGAATGTCTCAACCTACACCTCCCTGGCCACCACTAGCCACAGGTGTTGCTAGGAGAACAAGTTATGTTGCTGTTCCCCAAAAAAGTGCATTGAGTACCTGTTGGCTCAGACAACCAGAAGTGAACCCCACGAGAAAGGACTTTGTCCAGGCATGGGGATGGCTCTCCCAGCTCCAAACTGATCCCTGTCCTCCCATTCCAGCAGAATGGTAGAAAAGAGCATGGGACTTGCCATCTAAAGATGGAGTTCCATCATGGAATTGTCGCTTCGTAGCCATGACCTGGAGTGAGCAGTAATGTGTTCTCTCTGAGCTCAATTTCCTCACTTCTGTATTAGGGATAACAGTACCTACTCTATATTGTGGAGGGTAAAATGAGAGGATAGACACTAAAATCGTTATTAAAGTATTCATTATTATTATCATGGCAGTTATTTTCTAATAATGCAACAACAACTATTTTGGGGGCGGGGGGCACCGGGGATCGAACTCAGGTTCCACCAAGTTTATAGGATCCTATTATGTGCTAATGTTGGAGAAATTTTACATAAATCTAAAATTAAATGCAAATATAAATATATCTTTTGCTAACTTTTTAAAACCCCCTTTCCAGGATTCATCTCTGCTTCTACAGTCGACTCAGAATGTTACTGTAAATGCACGAAACTTGGCAGGGGAAGTCACAGGCAGGTTAAAAGTGGGTAAGTCCAATTCCTTGAATGTATTTATGTACATGAGATCCAGGAACAGAGCTCCACAGATAAGTTGCTTTTTCCTTCCAGAGGATTAGGGCTTATGGATGAACAATAACACACGAATTTTCTAAAATCCATGTTGTGCTAACCACAGAGAATAGTTACATCCATGGGCTGGGTGGGAGGACAACTTGACATTTTTATTTTCCTCATTGAGTTTATTGGTACATTTTAGATATACAGTACAGTTACATTTATTATTGAGATCTTGCACCTGTACATGATAGGTTTTGGTGCTCATTTTTCCCTTGTCACCACCCTCCCTTCATCCCCTCCTACCCTCCCCATTTACAAACACTTTATTTTCATTTTCTCATATTTTTTTCTTTTTCCCTACACTTCCCACTTTCCCTACACCTTTAGCCCTTTTCTTCCTATTTCACATTGTCAATTATCTCATCATGTACTATTATAGTTTTTCACACCAGAGAAACTATTAGGTATTTACACATGTGTGATGTATTTATTTCACTTATGAGTGTATCCTCAATATGTATCCATTTTTCTATGAATGAATCTAATTTCTCATTCATTATATCTGAGTAGTCCATTTTATAGAAAAACCATATCTTCTTTATCAGGTCTCCAACTGATGGGCAAATGGGCTGTTTCCAAATTTTAGCTATTACAAACTGTGCCACTATAAACATAGGTGCACATATATCACTGTGATATGATTATTTAATTCTTTTGGAAAGATACCCAGAAGAGGGATAGCTGAGTCAAATGGAACCTCTAGTCCTAGCTTTGAGGCATCTCCATATTGATTTCCATAGTGGTGGCACCAGTCTGCACTCCCACCAACAATGGAGAAGGGTTCCTTTCTCCCTGCAACCCTGCCAACATTTGTTATTGGTTGATTTCTTGGTAACAGCCATTCTTTGTGGGGTGAGTGGAATCTCAGTGTTGTTTTCATCTGCATCTCTCGAATCACCAGTGATGCAGAACGTGTATTCATATATTTACTTGCTGCTTTTACTTCTTTGCCTGGGAAATATCTGTTCATTTCAGATGCCTATTTTTGAATGGGGTCTTTACATTTGGGTGGGCTGATTGTTTTGAGTTCTTTATATATTCTAGATAATATTCCTTTGTCGAGGAGCAGCTGATAAAAATTTTTTCCCATATTGTAGGTTGCCTTTTAGTTCTGTTGATAGTTTTTTTGCAGTGCAGAAGCTTTTTAATAAGATGAGATCCCAGTTGTTGATTCTTTCTGCTACTTTCTGTGCTACTGAGGATTTGTTCATAAAGTCTTTTCCTATGCCAGTGTCTTCAAGAGTTCTGCCTAACTTATCTTCCAGCAAGTTTAGTGTTTCTTTGACAAAATTCAACACCCATTCAAGATAAAAAAAACCTGCAAAAATTGTAATAGATGGTCTATATCTCAACTTAATAAAGGCTATCTATGAAAAACCTACAACCAACATCATATTAAATGGCCAAAAACTGAAAACCTTCATGTTAAAATCAGAAACAAGACAAGGATTCCCACTATCACCACTCCTCTTCAATATAGTTCTGGAGACATTAGCCACAGCAATTTAGACAAGAGAAAGAAATTAAAGCAATAAAGATGGGAAAGGAAGAAATTAAACTGTCATTATTTGCTGACGATATGATACTCTACATTGAAGACCCAAAAAATTCCACCAAAAGACTTCTAGACTTAATTGACACTTTTAAGCAGAGTAGCTGGATACAAGGTCAACATTCAAAAATCAATAGCCTTCTTGTATAAAAATAACAGACTCACTTAGAGAGAAATTAGGGAAACAATTCCTTTCACAATAGCATCCAAAAAATGAAGTATCTAGGAATCAATCTAACGAAAGAAGCAAAAGACCTCGACACTGAAAACTACAGAACTCTGAAAAAAGAGATCGAAGAGTATATAAAAAAATGGAAAGATATCCCTGGCTCCTGGGTAGGAAGAATCAGCATAATGAAAATGGCCATACTACCAAAACTGCTATACAGATTCAATGCAATGCTAATTGAAATTCCAAAACTATATTTCACAGAACTAGAAAAAAGAATCCAAAAATTCATTTGGAACCAGAAAAAACTTAGAATAGCAAAAACCATCCTAGGCAACAGAGACATGGCAGCAGGTACAACAATTTCTAATTTGAAACTATACTACAAAGCCACTGTGATAAAAACAGCATGGTACTGGCAAAGAAAAAGATCTGAGGATCAGTGGAACAGACTGGAAGATACAAAAACAACTCCAGATGTACTCAGCTACCTCATATTTGACAAAGGAGCCAACCATCCTCACTGGAGGCAAGATAGCCTCTTTAATAAATGGTGCTGGAAAAACTGGATTTCAACCTGTCAAAGATTAAAACTAGACCCTTATCTTTCACCATGCACTAAACTAAAATCCAAGTAGATTAAAGATATTTTTAATCAAAATTATTTTTGTTCTGAAAAACTTAGGATCATCCAAGCTAGTGCAAGAGACAGAATATTAATTACAGAATAAAAGCAAAAATCTCTCATTGACTAAAGTAAAGGAACCAAAGTAGCCAGTCTCAGAAGAACGAAGCTGGAGGCTGAGAGCCAAAACCCTATTCCTATTCTTTTCCTCCCCTCCTCATTCCCACCCTCTATGTCTCTTTCTCCCTGATCTCTAGTCTCACTTCTCTCTCCTCTTGCTCTTGCCCTCTCCTCCTACCTAAGTGCTCCATGATCCTCCTTTCCAGCGTTATCTTCACCCATCACTTCCACTTGGATGTGACAACTGTCTCACATCTGACCCTACAGGACCTGCCAGGCCTCCCTGTCCCTGGCTCTCATCTACTCTCTGTAGTTCTCACCATTGACTATCTTAGTCTCCAGGTATGCAAGTTCTAAACTTCCAGCAGAGTCCTCATTAGGAGAACCCAACTCCCCTGTTCCACCAGCCACCCCTTGGTCAGCTTCACCCACCCCTCCAAGGGGCTAAGTCCAGAGAATAAGGTCCTGTGGAGGTAAAGTCACATGGAAGCTAACAGAGTGGAAAAAAATCATCAAGAAAGGACACACACCTGGATTCATCCAAACACAATGAAAAATACATGAAAAACATTTTTCCTGTATTGAACATGTACACACTTATTTTCTTGTCAGTATTTCTAACAATGCAGTGGAGCAATTGTTTGTTGTTAATCATACAGAGATTATTTAAAGGACATATGAGTACTTTGTAGGTTCTGTGCAAACACTTCTCTCTTTATAGAAGGGACTTAGGCATTACTAGGTTGGGTATCTGCAGAGGGCACTGGTAACAGTTCCACGGGGTTTCTTAGAAGCACTTGTAGACATAAGAAATAACAAAAGAGGAAACCAAATGGGGATAGCCAGACATATCATTCTCTACACCATCCACACTGCATAGATGCACTAAACCTATGAAACTGGATGACTCCTGTGGCTATGAAGAAATGGAGTAAAGGTGTATGACTGTGACTAGCACACACTAGAAAGTCTCAGGTCTTTCTTTTTCCATGGCTCCTAAAAGGTAAAATAATGTTGTGCTGGAAGGTGCAGCTATACCTTAACCAAATGGTTGCTTTTATTATACTATGCAAGACATTTCATATTTTACGCTCTGTTTCAACTTTTATAATTTACTATGGATAATGAATTGTATTTTCTTTTTGCTTAGAAATTTCAGTCAATCACTCCATCCGCTGAAATTCTCAATCAATCTAGAAATGAACCTGAGTTTATCCAGCATCCATGTTCTTGAACTTGGTGAAATTAATTTCTATTTTCTTGTTAAATTATACAGTATTATGATTTATTTTTATCATCGTTTCTTTAAAATCCTTATCTGCCTATAGAGTTTTAAGCATTTGAGAAGTTTTTGCTCAATCTTCTTATTCATTCAACAAATATTTGCTGAATGTCAAAGGCTAGTTTCTATATGCTGTCAAGTAATAACATAGTGTATAGAATTATTTCTTAGAAGTTCCAATGGTCCTTGCAAGTGCAAGGACCCGAGTTCAATCCCTGGTACTAAAAAAAAAAAAAAAAAAAAAAAAAATTCCATGGTGGAAAAATCTTTTTTTATTCTCTTGTAAGAATTAAGTAGCACAGACACTCATTTCCTCATCATTTTGTTGGCGGACTTTTCACTGAGACCAGACAGAGATCATATAGACATGGCTCTTGTTTCAAAGGTAGAAAACTTGAAGCCCCCAAAAGCTCAGTATTGAGGAACACACAGTGAGTTAGGAGGAAAGCCACAGCGGAAACAGCCCAGGGCCTGCTTCTCCCCACAGCCGTGTTCCTGCCCTCCTCCCCATCAGTCTCCTGAGACCAGGGCAGACCGGGAACTCTCCTACCTGTGTAAATGTGAATTTCCCGCTTCCATCTTTGAGAAATTACCAGGAGTTAAACCAGTTCTTGTCAAAAAAATTTATGCACTGAAAGTACTTTTGTGAAAAGTGCTAAACTTGGTGTCTCATGCCCAATTATGTGTTTAATTTGGTGATTTACAAACCTTTGGATGGAAAGTCTGTCATATGGATGGACCTTGAGCTAAATGTGTTGCTCATTTCACCACATCTGAGAGTTTTGTCCTTCCGTAAATGTCTTCCCTGACCACAATCCTTCCAGCCTCACACTTTCAGGAAGGGGTTAACTTTAGTTTATTTGCATATTAAAATGTAATGTATGTGAAGTAGCCAAATGAATCCAATTTAGTTGAAAGAATAACTGCTTTTTTGTTAAAATGAAAAACTAGCATCAAAAACAACCAAGACCAAATTTCCTAGAGGAAATCAAATTTTACAAAGCATCCACTAGGAACTAACATTGCAAATCTCTAAACAAAAAGATACTAAAGCTTAAGCAACAAGAAAAGAATCTTACTAGTGGTAAATACAGCTGTTATCACAGCTTGTTTTCCTTTAATTTGAAGTGATTGAAATCAGTTCTGGTTAGTTAAAAGGTAA